TTGAACCCAAATTTAGCAGACAGTACAACAAAATTTTAATAAAAGCATCCTTTCCATTACAACAATGGTATAGCCAACATTTTAGTGGTTAATATCTCCATTTCATGTGAGGTATTTTAATATTTCTAATAAAACTTTATAGACAATCCAAAGAGCAAAAAAAATAGATAGGCACACAAGTAACTATAATTCAAAATGTAAGAAATCTGAGCAGATAAAAACATGTTGTTCAGTCTTGACCTAAGTAGCGATGAGTATCAGAGGTGGCATTCAACCGGTTCGCACCTACTTGGGCGAACCGGTAGTGGTTATTTGGCATGGGTCGCCGAACCGGTGGCAATCCCTGGCTGACCACGTCCCCAACCTGGTCACCCGGTCGCTCACTTGCAATCGCTCTCCTAGCTTTCCATTCCCCATGTCCTCTTTCTCCCAAGGGAAAAGGAAGAAAGGCATGGATGCTGCATGAATCACTTTCCCCTTGTGAGTTAAAGTGCTGGAGTGAGAAGGAGTGCGGTCTGACAAAGGGGGTGGGGGAATCCACTCAAGCCTTGGAGAAATTTAAAGGAGCTGCTTCCAAAATGCTTGTCTGTTAAGTGCTCTGTGTGTGTGTGTGTGTGTGTGTGTGTGTGTGTGTGTGTGTGTGTATGAGAGAGAGAGAGAGAGAGAGAGAGAAAGAAAGAGGAAGGTAGAGAAAGAAAGAAAATAAGAGAGAGAGAGATAAACTCTGTGCTATTATTTTAAATTGTTCCATTATTTATCATGTGTTAATATTTTACACTGTCCCTACACCTAGAGTGATTTTTCTGCCTTTCTTTTGCCCAGGGCTACCACATATTTTCAGGGTTTACATGCATTCAATGTCAATAGTCCAGAGCATAAAATGCACATGTGTTTAACAAGAGTTGAAAGGGACCTTGGAGGTCTTCTAGTCCAACCCCCAGCTCAAGCAAGAAAACTGAGGATGCCAAACTCTGAGTAGAAATCCTGGGAAAGGTGTCATAATAATACTTAGAAGGGACCTTGGGGTGAACCTTATACCATTTCAGAGAAATGGCTGTCCAGTCTTTTCTTAAAAACTTCCAATGATTGAGCATCCAGAACTTCTGGAGACAGGCAGTTCCACTGGTTAATTGTTCTCACTGTCAGGAAGTTTCTCCTTTGTTTTAGATTGCTTCTGTCTGTTCAGTTTCCATCCATTGCTTCTTGTTTGCATTCTGCTTCTTTGGAAAATACATTTCTTTGTGGCAGCCCCTTAAAAGCCTGTTGCCTATCACACTCTTGAGTAAAGCATGTGAGCCATTTCCTCCTTTTAGTGGTCCATGAAAGTACATCTATAGTATGCAGATAATAAAGTCAAAAAAGGTGAACAACATTTTTACAGAACTATAGATAAGTTGAGGCTGGGTGACAAGGAATGGCTGGGAGGGGAGGGGCCAGGTGAGGCACCCCTTGATGTGAGTGACATTGAGTTGGCCATGCCCACCCAGTCACATGACCACCAAGCCATGCCCCCCAGTCACATGACCACCAACCACGCCCACCCAGTCACATGACCACTAAGCCACACCCACCCAGTCACATGACCACAAGCCACACCCACCAAATAAGCCACACCCACAAAACCCGTAGTAAACATTTTTGAATTTCACCACTGATAAGTATCATTAGCATGACACTAGAAGGCCAGTTGTCTTGTGTAAATTTGCATTGCTGTGGCTGAATCTCCATCTTCCAGAAACAGGTGAAGCTTATTTTTGAGGAAAATAATTACCTCATATGTAAACTGAACTTCTATTTCACAACTATATCCAGTAGACTTTTAATGTTGTAAATCTGGATTTTCACTGGGTATGCTAACCATCTGGTATAGGCTGGATGTTACTTTCTGCATCAGCAATTTTATTGCTTGCAATATTCCTGCATTTCAAAATGTTTTCATGAAGGTTAACTGGACTGATAAAATCAAAAATTCTGGAACTGGAAGAGGAAATCGAAACTGATGTTATGTGCACGTGGAAGTAATTTAGGCATACATAAAGAAGACCATTTGCTTGTCTTATCCAGATTCTTTTAGTAGCTAAGTCCTTTCTATCTTTTTCTGAATGTATTTACAGGTGACGGAGGGAAGCATAGTTTTAAATTAAAGCTTTTATCTAATAAAGTTAATAGCTCATTTTTTAATTGCCCCCATTAAAAATCAAATTGCTCCCCTGTGGGGCATGGGCCCCATGTTGGGAACCACTGCTCTAGCTATTAAGCGTATTAGCAGGTACGATACTCAGATGCATCACTGAACAGACTCCCATTGAGAACAGTAGTACTTCCTATGAGTAAAGATTCCCAATTTCTTCATTTTTTCTAAAACAATACACATCTGTTAATATGCCCTCTCTGCTCTTCTTGTCATACTCTGCATGCAAACCTTGGATGGGGAGATTCTACTTGGAGCAAGCAATCATGGAGATTTCCAGGCTCCAACAATGTAGGATTTTAAAAGTGATCACAATGACCCTGACGTACACCTGGAAACAAATGAACAATTAATGTGCTTCCCTATTTTATTACTACCGAAATGTACTACTGTTAACAGGTGGAAATCTGCATTTTTCATTTACTTCAGTTTTAAGACCTAGAGTTCTTTATTGTCTGTGAGATGAAGAGTGTTGAGTGACTATAATCAATCAACAAAAACATTTCTCACCTTCTATCTGCTCTAGCATAAATTAATTCAGGGACATATGATTATACACCAGTATTTTTTTTTCTTAGAAATCATACCTCTGTCCAGACCTGATATTGGAATTTTCCAACAGCCAACAGCCTGAATCCACAGCCACTCCATCTTGTTGGAGTTGAATATCAACCTACTTTTTCCCATCTAGATCTTTACAATTTATGATAGTGGGTCAACATTTTCACCACAACTCCTATATATCCTAGAATGGAGATGCATAACTGAATATTACAAACAAATATTATTGATGCCAAACCCAAGCCCATCATACAATCCTCCCTACCAACTTTGTATACGGTAATTATAAAATAGAGTGGTAGAAAAGATTGATTCCTGATACATGGATTTAGCATCTCTATCTTGACATATACTTAAAACCAAGGGTGGGATTAAAATTTTTTAACAACCAGTTCTGTGAACGTGGTTTAGGAGGTGGGCGTGGCTTGGTGGTCATGTGACTGGGTGGACATGGCTTGGTGGTCATGTTATTGGCTGGGTGTGGCCAACTCAATATCACTTACATCGAGGCACACATCTCTTCGCCTGGCCTCTCATGACTGTGGGGATGCTGCAACAGTTGTAAGTGTGAAAAATGGTCATAAGTCACTTTTTTCAGTGCCATTGTAACTTTGAATGGTCACTCCACACAAGCAAAGTACCAGTAAAGAAGAGAAAAAAAAACTCCAGAGATGTTCCTGAGACAGGAAGTCTAGTCCTGCCAAGAATGTAATAAGGGTTAACGGAAAGACAGTTTCTGTAAGCAACACCAGAATGTTTCCTTCCTGCCACCCTTACAGGATTAGGCCAGTAATTTATTCTAACAACCAGTTCTCTGAACTGCTTAGAATGTTAACAGCCGGTTCTAGCGAATAGGTGCGAACCTGTAGAATCCCACCCCTGCTTAAAACAGCCCACTTAGGAAGGGAGAAATAATTTTTAATATACATTGTAGCTAAAGCATTATGGCTACTTTGAATACACACACATACATAGACAGAAACACACACACGCACACACACACACACACACACACACACACACACACACAATTCAAGATTTAATGCCTGCCAGCATCTTCTTGAAAGGTAGTCTCTATTTGTAGCAAAGATCTATAAGAATCTATAATAATTATAATTTTCTGAACAATCATTTTAATTTCATACTCATCACATCTTTGTATACATTTATAGACTAGCCATAATGTATACTCTATGATGTACACATATAATTATAGTTATTACAGATTCTTATAAATCTTTGCTACAAATAGAGACTTATTCCAAGAAGATGCTGACAGGCATTAAATCTTGAATTTTGTCTTTGTATTAAACTACACACCTGTTCTGAATGCATCGCTATAATTAAAAAAAAAATTTCTGAACGTTTTGGCCTTTTGAATGTTGAGATAGGGCTTTCCTATATTGAAACATATTTCTGAATCAGATATTAGGATTATTTTTTTATTTGGTATGTGTATTTCCAAACTTAGGTCCATTTCTATCATATCTTCTATCATATCTTTTTAAAGTATCATTTAAAATAAGATAATAGCAAATATTTAGCTTTTTTTCCAAATTAAAAATAAATATTGAGGGGGAAACCTTTTTGAGGCCTTACATCTCAGAATCTAAGCAATCTTGATTCCACATCCCAGCCAAAATCCCAACTGAAGTAGGCCTACAATGTCATTCAGATAAATCTGGAGTTTTCAGGCCATTCCTATCTCCATCACTTTAGCCAGAAACAATACTTTTGAGACTGACCAATAATATTTCCAGGCTTTTCAAGCAAATAAGATGTTTCCTAAATACTCTTCTTGTCAGTCTATGTTTAGGCAGAAAGGGAATTCACATCCTATAAGGAAATACTAAACACACTCTCTCTCTCTCCCTCCCTCGTCCAGCAGGAAGAAAGTTCACACTTCCCCAGATCTTCAAAATCAACAAGTGAAAAATTATTCAAACCAGGACAAACATAAAATGGGCTACATCATAATATCCTGCCCCAACAGTGGCATTTAAGGCAAAGTGGATTCTTGCAGCTCCCCAGCATTCTGTATACCTTATAGAGATGCTGGACAAAGTAGGAAGAAATTCATATCGGTTTATTTTCCACAGATACAGTGCAATGACCTTCAATGGTCTGAAGGGGAAAAGGGAATCTATGAAAATGATCTATTTTTCAAAGAGCACAGAAGCAAATTTTGAATCACAACCTCGTACAGATGATTTAAAGTTCACTTAAATGTATTTTACAATTCCTCCAGGATTTTAGGACTCTTCATCCGTGGTATTGAGGAAAATAGCCGGTCTAAGCGGGATGGACTTTTCTATGAAAATGAATGCATTGTGAAAATTAACAATATTCAACTTGCAGATAAAACCTTTGCACAGTGAGTTTTTTTTTCCTTTTTCCTTATTTTTTCTTGTATTAAAAATATCATATTCATTGCAGATCAATCCAAAGTTTCAAAAGTAAAACAATTGAACAAAATAATTTAAATATTTATATTTTCTCTATAGAGCACTAATATTTTTCAAGTACAGATGTCCTGGAACAAAAGTATCATTTATTTATTTGTGTCCACCTTTATTATTTTAATAAAATCAAGGTGGCAAACATAACCAACCTATCTTTCCTGCCCTATTTTTCCCACAACTACCCTCTGAAGTGAATTGGGCTGAGAGAGATTGACTAGCCCAGAGTCAGCTATCTGACTTTCATGCTTTTTCCTGTTGCTATATGCTCAAATCTTTTTTCTCAATCTGAATGTTTTACTAGTGTTTGTAATATTTCTTTAGTAATCAATCTAAAAACTTCAAAGATTGTTCTTAATAAAGAATCATAAATATCATTAATCAATCTTTTTATAACACAAAGAACTCAATTAACAAACACTTCATTAGTTTTATTTCATGAAAATTAGATATTTATTTTTAAGGCAGCTTTCCATTATGTGTTCCAAAAATATCCAAATTACTTGCATTTCTTTTAAAAGTAGACTGTTTTATTTTTCCAAAGTTCATAGGATGTCTGTTCATTTTTTATATGTAGTTACCTTAGCAGGAGTTTTAGACAAATTTTGTCTAACATATGCCTGTTGAAATTTGAATATATGTGTACAAGTACAAGATGTATGCAAAGCAATCTTAGAAGAGATATTTTATAAATGACATATAAAGATAAAGGTAAACAATTCCCCTGTCCAATTGAATCTGACTTTAGGGGGCAATACTCATCTCCGTTTCATAATTGAGGGACCCAGAATTGTCAGAAGATATTTCCATGGCCATTTCCATGGCATGACTATATGCCAAAGCACACAGAATGTTGTTAAAGTGCTATAAAGTGAATTTTCCTTACTACTTAATTAGTAATATTTCATGTATGGAGGTCATCACTTACAACCGGCCATTTAACAGCAGTTCACAGTCATGGCAGCCTCAGAATGGATCCTTTACATCTCATAAAGCATTTCAGTTATTGGAAAGGATTATGCCCCTCCCCCTAAGTCCATGACCACATTTTGTGTGGCCCTGTTCAGATTTACAACAGCCTGTTCAGATTTACAACTGCCAAGTGCCCTATGATCATGTGATTTCCATTTGCAATCTTCTCTCCTGATTTCCCCAGAAAATCAATCAGATGCTGGCTAGAAAGCTTCCAATTAGATGGAATATTGGATTGAGGTCCATTTCCTGTGTGCTGGAGGAACGGACATGGTTAATGGACTAACATAATACCCCACCTCCTCTCTGTTTTCATCTCACTCCCTTTCTTCCCCTCTTTCTCAATTTTAACCAGTTTTAGTGTTACTATTTATAGTTTTTATATTTATATTGGTGTTTTACTGGTTGTAAACCACCTAGAGACACATCTAGGTAAGATGAACAGCATAAATGTTTAATAAATTAATTAATAAGCAATGACACTGCTTAATTGCTCAGACTAGTTTATGTTTTTTCCCCCAAGAGCACAAGACCTTTTCCGCCAAGCAATGAAATCTCAGAACATCATCCTGGAAGTTGTCCCTTCGTATGGCCGTGAACAATATGAAAAGTCAGTCATCGCACCATTGTACTCCCCAAATAAAGCTGAACATATTTCCAAAGGAAAGTTTCCATTTGCAGCCTATCCAAAGCTGATGATGAAAGAGACAGATTTCTCTGAAGCAACTGATCTAGAGACTAATACACATGCATCTTCCAAGAGTCCTCTCTTCTCAAGAATTAATACGAAACCTCCATCACCATCTTTATCCCCATTGATGGGGTTTGGCAGCAAGAAAAATGCAAAGAAAATAAGGGTTGATCTCAAAAAAGGTAATGGTTGTAAGTTGTTAATACTTTCCAAATATGATTTTTTAAAACATACACTTGATGTGGATGTATAAATTTGACTCATTCATTGCAAAAGCAGCTGGCATGCTATCTGAAAACAGAAATAAGTGAGCACTTATACATGGGAAGCAGCTAGTAAATAATAGCTTCCATGTATCCAGGGGTATTTGAATACAAGTATGGGATCAGTATATAGCATTTCAAAATCTTTCCAGTTGGATTTCCTTTGCTTTTATTTTCAGTCAACAAAGATTATGTCTGCTAGAATATTATAATAACATGAAATAATAACTTGATATCACTGTACTGATAAGATTTAGTTGAATAATTTTCAGTATTCCATTGTACAATACTGGATGTTAAGGTTTTAAGAAGACTTTCTATGGAATGTTCCGTTTCTACAGTGAACCAGTATTTCCTGAAATCATGTTACAGAACAGAATTAAGAGAATTTAGTTTGAAGTTTGAACACTGAATTATTACAACCAGATATTTGCATGTTAAATTCAAAGTCAAACATCTGTCAGATTAAAAAGGTCAACAATTTACTTCTTCTCAAAGCTCACTTGAGAATGTTCCATTGAGGATTAGGATAGTCTGACACAGCTGACTATTTCCTTAAATGCTAAATGATTTGCCCATAGCTTGAAAGGCTCAAGTTCTACTTATTTCAATGTTTTTGTCCATAAAGTACTCCAGGAAAGTAAAATAAAGAAATACTTCATAAACTAGCAATTAGAAAGATTTGATACTGCATCAGTTTCCAAATTTTTAACCTTCGCACTTAAAGTTATTCCACATTCCATAAACATATAGACTTACTCTGAGTATAGCTAGGAGCAAAACTGTTTAAGAAGGTGTCACATTCTTTTTCCTCTCATTCAGTCCTTCTGTCTTATGATTATTTATATATTACTATGTGTTGGCTACAAATAACTCCTTGCAAAATCTGCATGTATAGGTCACCATGAAAAACAATTTCAAGCTGTATTCTATAACATGAACTCCTCTAATAAATTCTGTCTTAAGTCTTTATCAAAGAAAGATTTCCTTTTTGGCTTTGTGTGTAAGTCTACTCTAAGCTACTCAGATCTAAAGTTAGCAAAGGTGCTTCAGATACAATGTAGGCAATCCAGGGATGGGATTCAAAAATTTTAACAACCGGTTTGTGGGCATGGCTAGGTGGGCGTGGCTTCTACTTTTTTTGCAGCAACCCCCCCCCCCTTTTTGTTGTTCCTCGTGGGCCTCAGGGAAGCTTTCTGAGGGGCCGTTTTTGCTAGCCAGGAAGGCAAAAAAAATGGAGCATGGAGGGGCAGCCAGCACACACCCCTGCCCTTCCCCCCTGCCCCCTTTTGCCTCTTGGACCTCAGTGAGGCTTCCTGGGTGAAGCAGTAAGAGAGCGAGGAGCGTCCTGGCATAGCTGATCATTGGAACAGTTGATCGTTGGGAGGGGGGGAAAATAAATACCTTAAGGAGTGACTGGGTGGGGAGAACACAGTCAGTGATGTCGGGCATGTCCACAATGTTGCTCATGCATGATAAGGACTGACTGGGCAGTGAGGGGAGGGGAGGGCAGAGAGGGGTGGGGCCAGCCAGGGCACAATTTGCTGGTTCTCTGAACTGTGCAGAATCATAATAACTGGTTCTATAGAACTGGTCCAAACTGGTAGAATCCCACCCCTGGGGCAATCCATTTATAACTGTTGTTGCACCAGACTTACACAGCTACTGTACATGAGGCTCATTTCAGTTATGGAAATGTTTAGCCTGTGGTTGCCACTTCTGCAGGAGACATCCTGGACTCAAGCAAATACTTTTTTGAGTCCGCAAGGCTACCATAAAAGTCCAAGTGAAGGGAAAGCTCCTTTCAGGAGCCACTATTAGATTCAGTGAGGGTGCCCACACCAGAGCTGAAGCGTTTTGGCCCATTTGGACTTGAATACTGCACACTAATAATAATGTAATAAATTGGTCAATTAGGTCCAGTGATTAATATACAGGCTACAAACCAGCAGTCTATATGTTCTAATTCCGCCTTCAACATGAAACCAGGTGGGTGATTTTGGGTCAGTTACACACACTCTCTCTCTGCTTATTCACTTCACTAGTAAGAGGAAGGAATATTATGTATATTTGCTGCCTTAATAAAAATAATAAAGGTGGGATGAAAGAAATCCCTATTTTTTATGCAGGTTAGAAAATGCTTCCAGATATTTTTTTCCTGTTCTTTTGACCTTTTCTAATGTAATATATCACTAAAGCTTGTGTTCATTCCTTGAGTTACTGCATGCTTTACATAAGAACAATGTATAGAATGGAAGTGGGGAAGCATATGTTAAAGAATTAATGTTGAATTTGAAGAAATCAGATGAAAGAAACTTTTGCTGCACAGAAAAGCTGAACAGTGTGTCTTAATTCAGCACTAAAACAAGGAATGGATCCTACTATTCTTATCTAATTGAAAACAAACCCATTTTTAATATAAATATTAAATATTAAAATTTTGGAGAACAGCCCTGTTACTTGTTGGTTGCCTCATATTTACAAATACTTCTTCTATTCTTTAGGACCTGAAGGCCTAGGTTTTACAGTGGTCACCAGGGACTCCTCCATACATGGTCCTGGCCCTATATTTGTAAAGAATATTTTGCCTCGAGGTGCAGCAGTTAAAGATGGCCGTTTGCATTCAGGAGACAGAATACTGGAGGTTGGAAATCTATTCCTCAGCACATATCTTACTATTAAGTTAATTAAACACAGTATTTGGTGAGGGCTATTATATGAAACTTTTTTGACTGATAAAACCTGTTTAATGCAAAACATAGGCTGAAGTGAATTATAAAATACTCATAACAACCAATTTATTTGCATTTTTGCAAATATAATTTTGCAAATATAACTACATACTGCATTTTTTAAACAAAATAAGGTTATCATCTTCTTGCCCTATTGCTCTAGTTAATTGTTAGCTTCTAGGTCAGGCTTCTTGGATATTCAAAACCTATGCTTAAATTCATGATACTTTCCCATTTTTGCTTTTAAAATTGGCTGACCAAAATTGAGAATTTGGAATTCAGAAGTAATAAATGCTCCTTAGATATCCCACATCTAAGAGATGGAAATCTCCTCCTAAATATGCCAAGTTTAAGGTTCAACCAATCAGACATTTTGGATGATATTGATTATCAGGATCTATTGAAACCAATAAAATTATTCTGTAAAAGAAAACCTTCCCAACAATATTTAAACAGGTTTTGGATATACTTGTTAAATATGTTTCTCACATAATGTGAAAAAAAGCACAAAGCAAGTTTCTCTCGGTATACTTAAAATGCTACATCTGGAAAGACCCTTTCTTCAGTAGCAATTCACCATACTTTACTTGACAAAAGGCAAATAGATAACATGTTTTCACCAAAATAAGACCTAATAGGAAAATAAGCCCAAATGCTCCAAAATTAATATAAGACCTAATCATATTTTCGGGGAAGGTAATCTGCAGTTCTGAATGAAGTGAAATCATATTTAAATAAAATGACATTGTTAGAGAGAATTAGAAATCAACATTCAAGTTTAATCTTTGTGACAACATTTGGCTTGGGTGAGAAATATTTTGAAGTATGTCTTCTGTGATACACAAATTTAATGCTCCATTCTTATATCTTCGTCAGGATTTTCCTTGAGTTTTATCCAATGCAACCATAAGCAACCCTTCAATAGTCCCGTGCTTTCTTTCATTGGAGGATGGGGTGGGTTGAAGTAGTATTCTTGCAGGGAATATCAGTAGATATCAAGCTCACTGTTAAAGAAGGGAAAGAAACTTTGAAACATCTGCAAGATGGATTGCTCAGATGATTTAGGCCCCAATCTCAATTTCATACTATGTGGATTAAATTGCTCAATATTTAATAATATATTGTTAACAATTTTTGCTAACTTGCTCGTTTATGATGTTATTAGGTGAATGGTAGAGATATCACTGGCAGAACTCAAGAAGAACTTGTAGCTACTCTAAGAAGCACAAAACAAGGAGAGATAGTTTCCCTGGTCATTGCTCGCCAGGAAGAAACCTTTCTGCCCCGAGAACTGGTAATACTCTTTGTAAAATAACTCGTGGAAAAGTATCACTGTTTATTAAGTAGTTGAAAATGTTAATTTAATGAAGATTTTATGAGGTTACAAAATTGTTTGACAATCAGAATAAGAAGTTGGAATTCTCTTGTCTAGATGAAGACATAAAATAATGTACCGTAGTACTACTAAAATTAGGAGTTATATAAACTGATTGTATATAATGTTAAGAAGTATTTATGATTTTTTTCAAATACTAGTTTGATAATTTTTGTTATTAGCAAGAGTGATTGCCTTTCATTCTGTTAACATGTAGTGTAGTACAACTTCTTCCTCAATAGAATTGTCCAGACACTTATTTAGTCCTTGACTTACAACCATTTTTTGGTGACTGTTCAAAGTTAAAATGGCTCTGAAAAACATGACTTATGACCATTTTTCACATTTATGACCATTGCAGAATCCCCATGCTCACATGATCAAAATTCAGATGCTTGGCAACTGACTCATATTTATAATGGTTGCAGTGTCCTGGGGTCATTTTATGAAATTTTACAACATTATGACAAACAAAGTCCATAGAGAAAGTCAGATTCACTTAACAACCATGTGGCAAGGAAAGGCGTGAAATGGAGTAAAACATATTTAACAATTATCTCACCAACAACATACCAAGTTATACTGAATCTGAATAGGGTAACCTTATATTTTAAAATGTAAGGATGTAATGCTTAAAATATTTCATAATTTCTCAGGTGTTACTTTGCCAATGATCTAATGCAAAACAGTTGTAACAATTAGAAGTTGCCTTGCCTAAACAGAAAAGTCTGTCACTATTCAGAAGATAACTTTTCTGGAGTAATTGCCATCTCAGAAAAAATGTAAATCTCTTGATTTCCTCTTTTTTGTTTTGAGTCTTAAAAATACTTTAATCATAAAGCATAAAGGAAGACCAGTACATCCTGTCTTTATCTCATTCTCTCTTCTTGTGAGAAAATAAACTCCAGTAAAACTCTTCCTTTTCTATTTCTCAAGAAATAGCTTTTACTTTATTGTTTTTACCATTATATGAAATCATCTAAAACTGTATATCAATGACTGGGCATGTTTTTCTTCCCATTATTTCTGCTTATTTGTTTTTCCTCCTTTGGCATTTCAGTCTATTTTGGACTGACCTTTGTAATGAGAGATTACTATGCCTACAAAAAAAGTAGACATTCTACAGTGTGATTTAATTTATGTTTATATGTAAGTATGTATGCAATTTTGTTAAGTCTAGACTGCAGTGAACTTAAATCTTTTTGATGGAGTGATAATGGAATTTGTTGTTTGTCTGAAAAATGCTAGATTTAAGCCAAATTTGAAATTTGAAAAACGATTTTATCTTGTATTTTCTCTTGTAGTTTTGCTAGTTGGCAGCTTTATTTGGATGAGCAGTATCTTTAGGGGGAGGTCCTCCCTCCCTCCACAGAATGATTATGCAACAATGCAATATAATATTTTAATAAAATGAAACAGTTAAAACCAATGCCAAAATCAAAGCTAATTAAAATAATTAACAATTAAAAATGAAGGCAAAAATGAAGCAGTTTTTTCATCTACCTAATTACTGAAAGAGTGGTAGCCAAACACATCCCTTTACAAAGTGTATTCCATACCCTGAAGAAGACTCTTTCCTGTTAGTTCTCTTCAGGAGAGCCTCTACTGTTGATCTTTGTAACAAAGATCTCTACTTGACAAAAAGGCTCCTTTTTATACAGTTCTATACAATCTATGAATGCCAGGAGGGAGGAAAAGCTAAGGCTAGTGGGCAACGTAGTTCAAAATATTCATTTTTTTTTACTGAAATGATAAAGCCATCTAATATCACACAATGAATCTTGGTGGCTCACAACAACCAATAAAAATATAATGTATATATAATATAATTTTATGCAATATAAAACTAATCTGACTCTTACCACCAGGGACCAGACCACCCCTACTATGAACTCCTGGATTCAGCCCTGACCTAGGTTAAGGCTTAGGGGAAAGACAACCAAATTAGAAACCAAACTATTGTTTTTTTCATCCCTCAGTCTTCTTTAAGTGTTCTGACCCAAGCCTCGTTCAAATCAAAAAATGCAAAACATAGATAAAGGCAAAACCTTTTTAATGGGTCTCTGTAAATTCTGTTCATTCACAGCAAAGCGCTATTAAAACTAATTGTCCCAGATAAGAGCAAACCCTGTGAAGGTTGTACAAGCCTGCCAAGAACACAAGATTAAGTGCAAGGAAATATTCAAAGCCAAAAGTCTCCGAAAACAAACCAGGATAGACCAAACTTCCAGGAGGACTTGAAGTGCAAGAACTTCTTTGCTTCCTGCAAAGAATCCCACCTCTGAGGGCTGGCTTTTATCCCTTAATGGCGGGGCCATCACCTTACAGCCTTATTCCCAAGTCGCCCATGCTGCTGCAGTTGCTCTTTCCTTCAAGCAGCCCTGCACACATGCACACTGGGCACAGGCTCCTCAGGGTCCTCTGCATCACTGCTGCTAGACTCCACAATCTCCGAAAGCAGTACCCCACTCTCTGATAGTCCTGGCCCCATCCCTGTATCACATGCAGGCCCCTCATCCGAGTTCTTGCTCTCAGAGACCTCAGCCATCCGCACCTACTGCCAGCAAACCACAACATTGAGAAAAAAAAGTATAAGAAATATTTTGTATTGTTCTCTATCCTCTTGTTTCTAATCAATCTTCAGTTCTTTAAAATTACTTTTAATTAATCTTAATCAAGATTCTTTGAAAATATTGTGACTTCCGGTGATGTCTTCCTCGTTGACGGACCAGAAACCATGATTGTATGCAACTTCAATCCATGCTCTCCCATCAGAGGGCACTGATCACCTGCATTTGGGACCACAACCACCCTGTAGGGGTGGTGAAGAAGGGGGAGACTGCCAGCTGGGTCTAGGGGAGCCGCATCTCCTCTCCCTGGCTAGGCATTCTACTCCCCTCTGAAAATGGCTGCAGTGGTGGTCAAATATGGCCACCCTGAAGAGGAAGAACTAACCTGGACAAGATTGTGCAGGAGCGGTGAAGAAGAGGACAGCATGAAAACTGAGCTCATCAGGCACAACATTTAAACACAAGGTATACCGGAATTAAAACTTTAAGGAATTTTTAAGAGAGATAATTAAAGCGGTGACCAGAGAAAGTAAAGAAAAAAATTTGACAGTTGAAAATGGCTTTGAACTTTGAAAGGAGGAAGAAGAAGATATTTGTTTAAATTGGATAAATATATGATCTTGGCACTAAACAGGCATAACTAAAGCTGAACTTGAACGTGTCAAAGAAAAAAAGAAAAAACAGTAATTGATATTTGGACTTATTGGAACTTTGAATTTTAAAAGCCCTAAATAGAGAGAAAAAGCTAGGAGAAAAAAGGGCGGAATTTGGATATAACAGAGAGTGTCATCTAGTGGTTAAAGAAATTATTTGTGACTCTTTATAACCTGGCTCTTCTAAAAGTTGGATTTGATACAAAGTAAGTGAAACTTTGTTACAATTTAAATAGAGACCCTGGAAAATGAAAGTGGAATACTGACTATGAAAACAAAGAAAGAAGCAGGAAGAAACTATCTTGGGATTGTTTGGTTTTGGGCATAAACTTAAATTTATGGACATTGAACTATTTGATGAATCTGGGAAAACCTAAAAAGGAATTAATAAAAGCTGATCGTTGGAAATAAACTTTATAGACATTGGCTAAATCAAATTACTGGATAATTGTGGACATAAAGAGTAAAGATATATAACAGAAGTGAAGATATATAACAGAAGTGTTTAAAAATAGCAGAACTTTTTTTGGAATTAAAAATGGAACTAAGAAATATGACAGATGCTACAAGAAAGAGGCAAGTCATTTGGTTTTGCCTTACAATTTTTAGAAATGGTGATTTTAGAGCATGAAGAACAACAAGGAGTGCCAGAAGAAGAACAGATGATTAAAGAAGAGGCCATCTTAAATGAACAATTGGAGCAATGAATATTAAAGCAAAGGGGGAGAAGAATTGAAATTAAAAGCTGGAGATTTGAGGAGGCAGTCAAAAAGGGGAATATTTTGAAAACCAAACAAAGTAAAAGGAAACAGCAGAAAATGGAAAAACAGAAGGAAGTCTTAAAGAGGGAGGGGGATAAAAAATTGGAGTAAGAAAAGGAGGAGAAATATGAAGGGAAAAATAAGTAAAAAGAAACAGAACCAGGAAATAAAGAAATACAGAAATCGAACAAAAATGAAAAGAAACTGTTTATTCAAAAGACAGAGACAGTGGTTAATTAAGAATTTAAAAGGGGGGTTCTGCAAGATGATGAGATGTAGAATAAATGTATTAGAAGTAATGAATTATTTAGAGAGTAGGAAAATACAGTTTATTAAAATGAAAGATTGGAACTGATTTTTTTTTGTTACTGGAATGCTTGTTTTTTGTTAAACTATATACAAAGATAAATGGAATAAATGTGAAAAAAGAGAAATTATGATAAGTTTATTAATTATGTTTAATGAACGTATAGAATATAGTTGAAATGAATTATGAAGTTTGCTGTAATGAGAGTAGTATCAGTTTTTATGATGAATTGAATAGATTAATTTTTCTTTTTGAAATTATAAATGTTTTTAATGTAATTGAAAGGGAAAGTACCATGCAGAACCTGACTTAAAAGGTATATATGTAATGTAGTTGTTAGGAGATTATTGTAATTAATTTTTAAAGTGATAATTAAAAAGTTAAATTATTGGAATGGAAAGGGGAATTGATTAAATGATATATAAGGTATAGGGGTGGCACACTCTAATTGGTAATTGTGGGGGAATTTTTTTTTTTAATGTTTGAACTGAGATGGAATTTTTGAAATGATGAAATGATGAAATAAGAATATGCAATGAAATTGCAAACATGACAGATAAAGGTATAAAGCGCAACAAATATGAAGCTATAAGAAATACTTAAAGTTAAAAGAAATAGGTTAAGAAAT